CTTTTGCTTGAAGACGTCATGAAGAACACCCTAAAGCTTGTAAATTGACTTTTCTACTCTTTCTGAGCACTTTAAGCCTTTTTTCTATGTAACATTTACACACATTCATACTCCAGTGGATGCATCAGAAAGCAGATGGGGGTTGATATCTTGCCTAAAGCATGCAGGCTGGAGCAGATGGGTATCAAACCACCAACCTTCCAATTAGTAGGTGACCTGCTCCACCACCTGAGCTACAGCCGCCTCAAGTGGCAGAGGCTGGAGGACCAGATGTGCTGGTCTTTGGATAAAAATGGACAAAAGAGCTGCTCAGTGTGGAGAGAGCACCACGACGGGATGGGGAGATGCTTAGGCCACACTGGGAAGGTTGATTATGAAGATTCTCAAACACAGGGACAAAGTGAAGGCGATTCACACCGACCACAAGTAAAAACCTGACACCCAACCAGTGAGATTTTAAAAGTAAATTAAATGAAATAAAGATTATGTGTGAAGAACTCAGTGCGGTCCAAACAGCTGGAAACCAGTTTTCAGATGCAGCCTTTAGACTGAAGGTCAGTATGATCCAAATTCTGCTGCCTATCACAGACATACGTGAGCAGTGACTCGGATGAGAACATCTGGTTTGACACAAAGATCCAACCGTTTCAGGAAGAGCTCAGAGAGACGCAGAGGAAATGATTTGTTAAGAAACTCCACTGAAGCTGCCTCTCCTGCTCTGAATCCAGGGTGTCAGCATTAGTACAAACGTGAACAAATATCGATGAACTTTCAAGATCACAGTGAAATTTGGTCTTCTCAATGACCAAATGCCCCCCACTAAAAAAAACCCGAATTACAGAAAATACACTGCAAATGCTCCATCAGAGGAACCAATAACCCCAACATATACCTGAAACATTGACCTTTTTGAGTCAAAGAAAACTTGGTTTTAAACATGAAGAGCTATGTTGTTCTTCAGATGAGGAAAACGTTTTTTCTTCAGTGAATTTGCGTGTTTCGTTTGCCACGTGTGCAACACGAGGACATGTTTGTTCCTCTTTAAATCAGAATGATTACATCAGTGAGTAAAAAGAGAATATATTTACTTGATTGTCCCATCCTCAATATAGATATCAGCGTAGAACGACTGGTCGTCATTGACAATCTTTCCTCCTTTGATGATCAGACGGTCGCCCTGGAAACAGAGAGGATGGTGCATAGATCATAGGAAAGAAGCTTCTGACTGCAGATTCAGACGGGGTCGACGGGAGAGGTGTGGCCACCAAGCAAGTTGAGAACGCTTTCTTTGAGTGAGCTGGATCAGAGTTAGCAGCTCCCACCACATCTTTCTGGTAATTCTGACTCTCTGCTTTAGAATTTAAGCCTGCTCATGTTTAAAGAGGCATTTCACAGGTCACGTGACTCTTCTTCCTCACAAAATGATCCTTATTATGTTGGGGATGGGGCTATCTCAGCTACCGTTGGTCAGGAGGCAGGTCACAGTTTTTATTTGATTCCTGATGTTTTAGTTGTTTCCTGCCTTCCTTGCGTCCCCTTGTAGCTTCTGATCTAGTCTTTATCTCTGTGTTTGGCATTTATGTTCTTTCCTGTTTTATTTTGATAGTCTCATGTCTTGTATTTATTTTTCCTTTGCATGTTACAGGTGTTTCCCCTCATTAGCACTCGGTGTGTCTGTGTGCATGAGTAACATGCCTTTGCCCTCAGTCACCTCCTGAGTGCCCTATGCTGGGCCGTGAATATTTATAATATTCATAACATATAAAAATGTATATTATATGATGTCATATTACACATATACAGTTATTATCCATGTGAGACGGGTAAAAACGAGTCTCCGGTTCTGAAGATGAAGCCGGTGTTTCTCTAGATTAAAACGGAGGCTGTGCTCTGTATTTACCCGTTGTCATGGCAAATCCTGGACGATGACCTCAGAGTGGACTGAACTCTGATCACTAATCTCAGCCGATTATCTGCAGTCACAGTTTTACAGATGTGCATCGCCTCTGATGAGGTCCCTGATTGGAGGAGTAACTCAAAGAAAGCCTGGATTTCTTGAACTTGAACATCTGTTTGGTGCAATCCAATCTCGTGATACAACACAGATGGAGGCTGCCACCCCAACGTCACCCACTAGACCAGGGGTCGGCAACCTTTCTGATGATGAGTGCATCTAAAATTTCCTCAGAAGTCAGTGTGCCACATGATTGCATTAGCATTAAATTTAATAACGCTCTATATGAACAGTTAAACACTATATAGAACAACTTTATAGAATCATATTTGTTCGCAGATGTTGGCAGCTGTCAGCGAACAGTTATC